TTTATTAAAAGTTTTAAGACACTAAAAGATTTACTTGTTGGAATGGCCATAGTCTTTCGACTTTTATAGCCAACCACAAAACATTCCCATTGTCGGTAGGATAATCCAGGGTTAGCCAAGATGGTGTGGTAATGGTAATGGTTGGAGACTTATATAGCGCATAATACATGGTCTCTATGCGCTCGGGACTAGATGTTGCACTTTACAATAACTTTCTCCTCCCCTAAGGGTCACTTCATGTCTTCAGCAGCCAGTAAACCGGCGCATTTTCATCTGTCTATGACAGGGGCCGAGTGAACCAGTACACCGGGGTAACCCCTTACTCATCTCGAAAGATGTACTGGGTTCTTTAAAGTGCACATGAGCATTTGTGTACACTGGGCCTGCGGTTTATAGTCCTTATCCGAGAAGACTTGTTCCACCACCAGAACTATAGGAGCGAGCCGGCCGCGAACCCGTGCCGATATTGTTGGCTATGATCACGGTGCCCTTGCTTTAACCGCTCGGCCATTTGGCTCGCTCCGTACAATATTGTTACACTTTTTTTTTATAAGAACACATTTTAGAACAGAACACTGAGACTGAAATTGGTCAAAGATTAAAAACAAAATAAGGTAAAATGTCAAATAGGGTTTTTATGTAAAAAAAATTTGAAACCAAAATTGTGACTATGTAACACCCTGTTCACAGTAATATACTGCTGTCAATAATTATATTCTATGTTTAAAACTTGTGTAAAAATAAGAATAAAATAAGAGCATTTTGAGCCTGAAATCGGCAAAAAAAAATAAGAACACTGAGCCTTGGGAAACATTTTTTTTATATAAAAAAATGTGTTGGTTTTCTTTTTGAATTATTATTTAGAGCCCCATCGTAGGGAACTTCTTAAATCAAACAGTACAGCAATTTAATATATTCTAATATATAGGCCTATAGGCTATATACTATATCAAAAATATATATTCTATCAAAATGATTTATAACATTGTTATTATACTTGTGCTATAAAAAAACTTTATATTAGGCTTATTATTATTATTATTATTATTATTATTATTGTTGTTGTTGTTGTTATATTATTTAAATAGTGCTTTTGTAAAATCCTGATGACAGTCGACAAAATATTTCCAACAATTTCCAATATTTATATTTTGTACAATTTTTTTTGCAAAGACAGTACAGTACTAACAGGAATTTCACTATGCTTTGCTCGGTCCCGTGGCATTTCACAAAGGGCTTGCATTCCATAATTGAGATAAATAAAATTACATAAAACTGTAAATTTACGAAGCACAGTATAATGTTCAAACGTGACTGTTTTTTGTTTTTTTTTGTGTGTGTGTGTCCACGGTTAACTGATAAAAAATATCAATATCAGTGGAGGAATTTACATAAAGTACTTGGTAAGTTCAACAACCGTTCGGTGGTTTGCCATCCCTACGTTACTCCAGGTCTAGAAAAGAATCACATCGTGAAAACTGAATGAATCGTCAAGAAATGTCGCCCTGTCGATTGATTGTATGTGTAATAAAGATAGACAGGAGAATACTATTTAGATCGATGCGATTTATTGTATCACCGTGGTTTACAAAACAGTAGCTAGAGTAGGCCTATTCTGTACCATTAACGTACGGTGCCAACCAGATAAAGTCGTAAAGATCAAAATCAGATATAATAAGTCCTTAAAAGACAATGATCATGCTTGTGTATATTTATTCGTTTATATCATACAAATAATAAATGTTTATGAGTGCAATGGGAAGAATATTTTCACGAGTTAAAAGATTGATTTGACTGTTCCATTCAACGAGGCGGAGCCGAGATGAATGGAACACAGTCAATCTTTCAACGAATGAAAATATTCTTTCCATTGTGCGAATATAAAACATTCATTATTTGTTTTATAACACACCTAAATAGGTCGGTTCGCCTATAGGGGCCTAGGCCTAGCTTGCCTGGCCTAGTAGGCCTAGGGGCTAGGCCTATCCGCCACGCAAAACCTAGTATATAATAACAGATTTAACGACCTGTTATCTATGTGTCTTCTATACATCAGTCACTGTGATTTATTCGTTCAGACAACACTACAGATAATAACATGACGTTTTGTATGTACATAGGCCCATCTTTTATCTGATATATCCAGTCAATCCAGAGTTGTATTGGTGTACTTCAAACAACACGACATACATAGGCCTGCGTACGTGCGCATTTTGTGTGATACCTGTTTTGTTGTGCAGTACATTATTTTCTGGGTCCCAGTCTCTTACTTCAATATCCAGGTTTTGATTCAAATTCAGTGGTGGCGACAAGGATGTGGATGTGGGGTTGGGGACTGTCGTCCGACGCACTACTAGGTCGTCGGATCAGAAATATGAAAAACAATAATTTGCCTATCCAAATAACGTTATTTTGATAGCTAATTCTTAATATTGTGGTCTAAAAGCACATTGAACTCTTCCCGTGAAAACTAACAAGGGCCGGGAGTCTTTATTCCGGGCCGTCGACCGAGGCTTCGTCGGGACCTTTACCTTGACTCAGACCCCCCTCCTTGCGACATATCGGACCCCTTGTTGGAAAATTCCAGTCGCCACCGCTGATCAAATTGCTGTGTATCAATTGGTATATGACGACATATTTTCATTCAGTAGGCCTACTCTATGGAACGAATTGATTGTAACCGGACGTCACATTTTTTGCTTGATTGTTCACGGACCCTATAATAAGTTTATTGATAAGCGAGCCACCAAATAGCGGGCTACCTGAATATTAAAAAACCTATGATATTATAGCCTATTTTACACCACATTATTTCGTAACCCGAGGGATGGATTCTGATCCGATTATTAATTATAATATGCACCAGGGGAGATGTTTGTATAGAAGTATAATTTCAAGCCAACTTCGTTATTGATACTATCTATACAATAAATAATAATAGAACCAGTAGCGACGCTATAGATTTGTTTCATAAAATTAATTGTCGTGGGAATTGATTGGTGCATGCGTCGAGAGGCACTTACTTGGGTTTAGGCTTAGATTTTGGAATTCAAATGCAAAGCCAAGCTTCGGAAGAAAACATTTTTTTTTTATGTTTTACTAATACATTTACTAAGAAACTGAATGAATGATTGAAGAGATACGGCTAATAAGATACAGATTTTTGAATACTGGGTAAAAGGACATACATTTTCCCTCCGGAAGTGCAGAAGCGTAATATCGAACGAAAAGCTCTTATCTTGCATTGTGCTCAGGGACCACGAGTGTTCATATTCTAATTACATTACAGATTAACCGGGTGGAATAATTTAACCAATATATCACATCGTAACATAAATATGACATTTTACATACAGCCACCGTCGGCCGGCGCTATGAAGAAGTCAACGCGATGAGAGGCACGCGCAACTGATCAGTAATTATATATATATATATATATATTTTAAATAGGCACATTTCCCACTGAAAAAAACACTTAAAAAAAAAAAACCTGTGCCATACGCCACCAATTTATAAAAATCTTGAATCTGCCCTGCCTGGCAACGCCTTGCCTGCAGCGCCCTGTCCCTCATAATTCCAAAACCGTCGCTGCACTTTTGATTGAAGTTGAAAAATAAGACAAGAATACGTTGTCTATAATTCAGTACCATCTAAACTAATATGCCGCCAGCTGAAGAGTAAACGTCAACTTAGAATGGTATTTTCTCAATCTGTTGTGTCTTGGATTACAAACTCTATTGTAATGTAAATATAATCTTCAGGTGATGGGTTTCTTCTGAACATTTTATTGTCCAGACCTTAAACTAAAGCCTACAAAGTTGACCCTATTATGTTGGTATATTATAGGTCCCTGGTTCAAGTTAACATTAATTTTCCGCTTACTACACAGCAGTTTAAAGCGTCCACCACCCAGCAGTTCCCGTCTCAAGCCGTACGTAAGTAGCCCGCATTTTTTGAATAGGATGCCAATGCGCCAAAAAATCACCGACGAGGGGTAGAAGATCCCAGACCATTAATTCCAACAGGCGCGGATCCAGTAGGGGTACACAGGGGCACGTGCCCGCCCACCCTCATCCGTTTTGCCACTAAATTTTAATATTATTATTTCAATGCATATCAAGTAATAAGCGCTACTCACTCACAATTCTGAAAAAATGTGCCCCCCCTCCCCCGGCCCGTTTGAAAAATTCTCGATCCCCTGTCCAAGATTTCAGACAGGGGCCGATGGTCTCCGACGACCTGCCCAAGTTCCCCGATAGGCACCTCCCAATACCCGGAAAGTAATGGACGGTAGCAATGTAAAAATGTTTTTTAAAGCAGTGTTCCCCCGAGGAAATAATTTGCATATGCTCAGAGGTTCCTCCAAGGATCCTGTTCCCCTTCCCCCTCCCATTGGCGCGCCTGATATCCATTTCTAAATCCATATGACGTTATTTCCTTCCCCCTCTCATTGGCGCGCCTGATATCCATTTCTAAATCAATATGACGTTATTTGAATGAGTCCAACTCCGCTGTCTGTGAGCGCTAGACGACGCGACGCTGTTTACTGATTGCTACTGGTAGAGTAAACGGATCGTCATTAAAAACGATCTGTTGTGCGTGCATCCGTGTTCTCCATAGAATCGCGTCGGCCGACGACCGTCGAACTCATTGACTGTCCGGCTTAACACTTACGCTTGTTGGTATAGTTTATCAGACTTATCGGCCATTTTTAGCTTTGAATATTTACAGTTGTACTCTAAAGTTTATGCCTTATTATAAAGCAAATGCGTATACCAAACAGAAGCGAGTATTTTGCATGCACCTTTATTGATATATTGTTTGTTCTTAAAATAGTAAACATCATATCACAAAGGCATACTGTTTTATTATTAATAAACACTGTTCCAAATGAAATTATCAGTGGCATTTTAGCCTAACATCCGATGACATCGAAGTTGTAGATGTGTGTGGATCAGCTCAGCAACCTGTGTGAGAATCTCTGTAAGTAGCCCTGAACCCGGGCACTCACCTCCTAACGGTCGTTGGCCGACGCGATTCTTTAATGAATGCAACGCCACGACGTGCGCGGATCGTTTTTAATGACGATCCTTTCAGACTGCTACCAACAATCAGCAGATGGTGTTGTGTAGTTTAACGCCAGGGAGCGGAGTTGGATACGACGGTCGTACGACGGAGTGAGTGTGTCCGGCTTTTTTACCATGAGCTTTTAGTTATAGTACATTTAATTCTGTAGCGCCTACGAAGTTTCCATTCATCGTCCCCATATCACCAATGCCATACCAATTGAATCAGTCCAACGACGGGCCACCAAGGTTCTAGTGGCGTATCTAGAAACCTTGAAATGGGGGTGCTGATGGTTGGGGCTGGGGGTATGAAGGTGCAGTGGGGGTTGGGGGAACGATTATCAGTTGAAGGGCGCTAACTCGCAAAATAAGGTAGATTTTAGGGAATTTTTAACTACTAGACCATGATTTTTTTCGGGGCGGCGCACCCCCAGATACGCCAATGCAAGGTTAATCAAATCAGATGCGAATGGAACAGTTGTATGCGGCAACAACTTATCGTGTGGTATCATGTTTAATTTACAACAAATTATTACATATTTTGGATAGGATTAATTTATGGCAGGCACTCAACTACGTTGCGTCGTATGATGGTCGATACTGCCATCGGCCGAGGAATTCAGTTTCGCTTTCTGATGTGAGCGCTAGACGACGCGACACCGTCGCGTCAATTAAAAACGATCCAATGATTGTGCGTCGTGGCGTTGCGTTCTCCATGGAATCGTGTCGCCTGGCTTAAATATTATTACTGCTGGTGACTGAGACTATATCCATGGGCATGTCCACGATATTTTTGTCGTTCAATAATCAGGTTAAAAACCACCAGGTCCGTAAGGGGATCCGCGAGACCTTTAGACCAATTTCCATGATTCCATTATTTTTCTTACGACAGTGTGATAAATACCTTACTGTTAATCATTAGTGGCCTTGTCAATAATGTAATAGCTTTGATGTTGTACTTTCGTGGGGAATCATCTTCAACCTATATCTTATCATCATCCTATTATAATATCATAAATATCAACTATGAATAAACCTAGACTTGAAGTCCATGAAGATTTTTAACATGTCCTGATGGGCCCGCGAATGCAAAAAGTTTGGGAAATACTGGTGTATAGACCAGATATGAGAACATTTTTAATTTTGTATATTTCTATGCTATAGGCCTACACAGTATAGGCCTATGTTAGAATCATGTAATTATTAATCTACATTGCAACATCTCGTGAATATTTAGCTTTAATAAAATACATTGATTGTGAAGTCTTTAGAAGTAGAACAAGCGGAATTCACATGTCCAAGGGAGAAGGTGGGGGATCAGTTGCTATTCAGTATTAGGCCTAATTATTTCGTAGCAATGTGGTGAAGAAATGATGAGCTGGGCTGATAGACATATGCCTATATCTTCAGGACCTTAACCGATCGCATTCGGGCCAGATGGTGAACAGGCGATGACGAGCACCAGAATAGCATAGAATAGTTCAAGTCTTTACTGTTCTGATCAATTTCGAACTGATATATTAATCCTTATTGGATTTTAATAAACGTGACAATAAAACTTCGGTAGGAAGATTGGGATGCCATATAAGGTCGTCTAGATTAACATAGTATGTGACGTAGTACTTCTGAGGGTAGACCTAGTAGGCCTATTTAATTGCTATGTCGTAGGGTCCAAATGTAGAAGAGTTTCCACTAGTAGTAGGACTACACAAGATTTAGCAATCTCCAGAAATTGTTAACACATGTCCGGTCTACCTTCAGGTTAGTAGAGAACGGGCAATTATACGCCCAGCGCTTTCCCTTTATCTCGCATTTTTAGGTCTATACTGCCAGAGTGATGATATCATTTGGGGCTTGTGGCGTAACGACGAGCCATGGGCTAAAAAATGAAGTGTTTGGCAGGGGCGTCTAGGAGTCTGGAAATTGGGGAAGGGTTAATGGGTGAGGGGCACTAGCTAGTAAAATAAGGTGACATGAGGTGATTTTTAAATAGATAATACTTGACTAAAACTAAACTTAATATAGATTTGAAAATATGTTTTAAAAATTATTGCTTAAGTAGTTTCTTAATTAGTTCACCTTAAATTGGATTGAGAAAACATGTTTTCGTTTCAATGAGAAATTCATTTTTGTATTTAAATTTTTGGGGATTTTCTTTTTCTATGGTACAGGTCGCCGTAACGTGAAGGCATGGAAGTATTTTAATAATTTTATACCTCCATAATGAAGGTATTCATGAGATAGAATTAATAGCTATAGTAATATTTAATCCGCATTATTATATCGTTGCAGGTAGTTAGGCCAAGAATTTTTAATTCGTTTGAACTTGAACTTTTCTTGATATCATCGCAATCAGTTACAGTATTTCACATGCAGGAACACATTTTGAAGGTTGTCGCTTCCAATATTGACATTAAATTAAGGGGTATACTTGAGTATATAAAAAGAAATAAACGCCTCCCTCGAATAAACTCCCCCTCTAGAACCCTTCTCAACAATATATTTGGTATTATTAAGCCTGTTATTGTTATAGTCATTAATATGGGTGTATATAGTAGTAGTTATCAGGGGCGGATCCAGAGATGTCCAAAAGGGGGGGGGGAGGGGAGCCGAAAGTTGAAACCGATCGAAGCAACACTGTCCCAGGGGGTCCGAAATTTTTGTGTTCTAGACGCCCGAAAATAACATTTGAGGTGTACTTGGCTATCATTTTTTTCTTTTTCTTTCTTTTTTCTGTTTTTTACCTCCCAAAAGGGGGTGCCGGTGCCGGGCCGTCCCCCCCCCCCCAAATCCGCCCCTGATTATGATTATTACCTAATTTTGAAATGACGTAATATACAAGTTTAGTAACATTTGTGATGTTGAAGATTTCACTTTTTTGTAAATTTTTAAAGGTCGGAAGTTCAGCAACTCATTTGACCTTGCAGGATAGAATAGACTTGTCGTGTTAGAATAAAAATATATCACAATGCGAGTAGCACGTTCTATTTACACTTTGTTATACATACTTTTGCCCCAGTGTTTTGTTCAATGTTCCACAGAAGTGATTTGTTGACAGCTATACAAAAACATAGGGCCTACTATTATAAAATCAACAATAAAATCAGGTCACTCTCCAACTCATTTATTTGTTGTGGTTATAACCACCGTTATCCCAGCAAGCACGTCAGCTGACAGTTTGTGTTATCTCAGGAGTAGAAAACAAGGCACAAAACTACATAAATACTGGGCCGGCTGCTTGCGAAATTGTTTTATCATCTTATGATCCTCATCATCGGTTTCCCGGTCCCCTAAATGCAACGGAGTGTTTCTTTACTATGCTTATTGTAGAATTGACATTTCCAAGCTTAACAACTGACCAATCAGAACAGGGCCAGGGATACGCGCTTGTCCCACATACACGCGTATTGCCCCACCAAACAAATGGCCATATGCGTTTACGCTGTCGCCGGGTTCCATTCCGGTTCCACAGAACTCATTTCCCTAAAAATCGACCTTTCTGGAGTAACATAACTGACCAATCAGAAGAAGGCAAGGAATACGCGCTTGTCCCACATACACGTGTGTTTTCCACCAAACAAATTACGATACGTTTACGCTATGTTATGGGTCATTCCGGTTCCACACGGAGAAGAGAATTTGTTTTGGTCAGTAGTTTCTTTTTACTTTGTAGGCCTACCAGGTCCATAAAACTGTGCGGATTTTTTTTAAAACAAATTATCAGTATTTTATCTTTATTGTTGATAATTGTGATATTTTTAATATGTTGAGGAAGTCACTCTATAATTGATTTAGTTCCCTTTTTTATTTTCCTCTCTCTTGTTGTTGTTTCCAATTGCGTCTATTTATTCTTGTCTTTTGTATTTTTGTGAGAGAAATAAATGAAATGTAATCGTCTAATGTTCATGTCCAATTAGAATAGTTCTAAACAATTTGAAAATATACTAGGCCTACTATCTAACTTTAGATGTTTTGTTCAAGGTTAGGATAACATGATTTTGCCATTTATTAATCAATAAAAACATTTCTTTTATTCATTAGTATACCAATTATATTTGATAATATACCAAATATAGTGAAATTGAAGTGGAATAAGAATATAACATTTAACAAAAGAAGAAAGGCCGAAATTTAACTTTCTTAAAATTACCTCAGAACTTTGTTAAACTGTTATAAATCTAAATCAATTCACATTTAAATTTAAATTTATTTTATTTTATTTATTTTATTTTATCTATTTTATTTATTATCTATTTTATTTATTTTGTTTATTTTATTTTATTTTATAAATTTTTTATTATTTTATTTTATTTTTATTTATTTATTTATTTATTTTTTTACCACGACCAATATCCGCTCAAATACAAAGAAACACACACAAATGCAATACAATTCCTAGATAACATTTCTGTTAGTTGTCATGAAAAAAAGATCAGCTCCATTCCCCCAAACCATACTTTGAGTGTTTGATATAGTGCATCGATGCTCCAGAAGTTATTTTTTTCGCCTGATGGATTGCTCATTGAAATTTCGAGATAAAGACCTTAGTACGAGTAAAGTTCAAATAGTATTATTTAAAAAAATCGTCTGCACTTATATTTATATCGTAATAGTGGATGAATTCGACAACGTTCAAATCTATAGGTTATTAGTAGACTTCACAGTTTAGAACAAATATTTATATATACCTTAACCCGTTACCCAGAAGGATTATAACATTCCACCTGACGGTGGTTGTAAAGATTCTTTAGATGGGCAGTGAATAGGTGGGCAATAAATCCTGTCCACAAAGAATAATCGATTCATGACGTTTCTCTCGGTTCATTGTACATCGAAATTTCTCACTAGAATGCGTAATCTTTTTATTGCATCCGTTTAATTAATTGAGTAAAAGTATATCAAATGATTGTATGTAACGGTACAGGGTAAAAATTAAAGCGTTTAGGTATCGGAACCTGTACATAGTTCATGGAAAGTCGCCTTTCAGTTCTTACCAAAAGATATTTAGGTGCTTTCGATTGCACGACGACGGTAGAACGTAGAACGTAATGACGTCAATAAAAGTCATCTGCGCATGCGAGAACGTTAAGATCACCTCGACGAGTAGATTCGTAGAACGCCAGGGAGGACGGTCACGCATGAGTGATTCCGTTCAAGCGTCGCGTCGTCGTACAAATCCAAAGCTCCCTACTATCTATGGTAGTCATAGTGATATTTAAATTTATACGAGCTCTCAACTAAAATATGTAAAGATATGGCTATCCCAAAAGCATAAATTGACAACAAGACGAATAAACTGACGATTTTAGGCCCAGTCTAAATCTTATGAGCATCTGATGTAAAAATATCGTGATACTTGTGGAACTGAGTATCCATAACTGCCAATTGCTAAATTTAACGACCAAGAGTCTACATAAGAATGACAGAATTTATAACCATATCTTAAATCAAAAAGAGATACTGCCACTAAACCATATTCTACTACTGTATTCACCGTGGCCTACATAGGGCCTTCTATATGGTTTAATAGCTAATATTCGTTTGAGTTGCTTTTAAGCCACCTCTCTTATACAAACTTTCCGACTTTTACGAAGTCGTTATGAGATGTTTACGACAACCGTAACATAGTTCGGGGTCATTTCATACTCGACTGGCTCAGTTTACTAAATAAACACTGTCTGGGACACCGACACGAATTTGCCAATTGAGCATGAGAAATGCCAACAAAATACTACATTTCTCCTTCTAATTAAGACCATTTTTGGGACCGGGGTTGTTACGGACTTAGGAATCTCTGGTTTTTAAATAGAAAAATGACTTTAATAAAAATAAGATACTGTAGCCTTTCGTTTGGGGGCGGACACAGAAGGTTAATATTTAATTGGTGGAAACATCGATTATTTAATTCAAATTAGGAGTGTGAATCTATAGGTTCGATTTAGAGTTTTGGGCTGCACTTGTAAAAGTTCTACATGTAATTAAAAAAAAGATAAGCATAATATGAATATTATTCTGCTAGTCAATGTTTCACAGCTTATTTAAACGGGGCGCTTATTAGCGCGAGTACGGTAAATATAGACGCACGCACGTAGCACCATTTGTTGCACTGGCAAATAGCTGTCCGTCATTGGCTGAGCACCCTCGTTCAGATGTTGCACTTTGGCGTGGACATAATGTCTAGGCCTATGGAGAAAGAGGAAATCAATAATTACCCAATAAGTTTGCGAACATTCCTGGTATTAACCAGGAAGGAAAGAATGGCGGCCCTTTCTTCGTAGTACAACATACAATTGAGCTCAGTGTACGGTAGAAAATATTATTGATATCTCAAGGTGAAATATAAAGCCAATGAGCTTATTAGAAATGTTTGTAAAAAGGTCAAGTATAAGGCAAATTGTCACGGAAATGTTCGATACAAATTCAATTATCACGGAAATATTAAGCAATAAGCTTCTCTGAAAAAAAAATATTTGTATTTAACATTTAATGATACAAAAGTCAAATATGAAACCACAACATGTAATTTACTACATG